ACAGAATCGTGTCAAACAAATTGGCATAAAAATAACACTTTATCAATCCACATTTAAATTTCCTCCAAGCCAAGTGGCTGCCGATATTTATAAACATTCGTTGAGTAGTAAGTAACAAACACAATAGAATAAGGAATCCCTATTTTAATTAATCTTCAGGATTTTCCTGAGTCATTTATATTGTTACAATAATATTGCCATTTAATATTACTTGAAACGTGCAAAGAAACATATCTAAACAAGAACATAACAAGACTGTTCCAACGCCATGTGAACGTATTGCCAAAAACACGTACTACAAACGATTAGAAATGCCATTACAAAAAGTCATGCCAATCAAAATGTATTAAATCGAAGCAGTCACATAATGCCAGCAGGCGTCTCGAACACGGCCCTGGCTGGACGGCGCAGTCTGAAAAAAAGTTTTTTTTCACTAACTGAAGCATTAATCTGGGCCGGTATTAGTTTACTCGCTCTTCTTGCGTCTGTGTGCGGCATCAACATGTGTGCACGCTCCGTGCAACTTTTCACATAGACCTCGTAATATACAGAGCACTGAAATTGCTTATTTTCGTTGGAACTGCTGAGATTCCAGTGTCAACCTATTTGTTAACACTACTCAATAATTAAAATTCATGGGGCAGCCAGCATCTTTATTTTCACATTTACTAACGACGATTAAATAAATGAGTCAACAACTTTTACAAGTGACTGTGAAAGCCTAGAAAATAACAATAAATTTAAGAAAAACTACACTACAATTGATCGAGTATTTGAAGGGAATATGTAGGCTTTTATCGTTTATAAAACAGTCAGTACCCACTTATTATCAACTCCAAAAATATATTGATTGCATTTGACCTACAAATTGTGCTACAAATCCTAATACCTTTAAAAAATTAATCTTAACCTTACATAAATTATTAATTCTTCAAATATGAATTTAATTACTTTAATGTCCTATCTGTTAGTTTTATCTCTATACCTAGTTCATTCTGCCGTACTTCAACGTAGCTGGCCGGCGTCCACTCTCTCTCGCATACACATACATACACAGCCCATACACACACGTAAGTAACGCATAATACCACCCCATAGGTATCATTCGTGGCACATCACGTTTTAATAACCATTGTATTTGGCAACGATCGAAATGAGTGTTTGGCGAAGGCGAGCAATGTCTGGAAACTATTTTTAACTACGGCAACTTCGCGTTTATGAGTTTTTTTTTTCAATAGCAAGCCAACAACAGTTGCATTCAACCTTTATGTTCGGAGTATTACCTAACAAATTATTTAAGCTAAAATAATTTTAGTTTATTGCGAATACTATTGTAGTCTAAACTTTTCCTCGTGTGGCAAACTAAGATAAGGTATCAACAAATAATTAAAAATAAAGACGAACTTTACTTAATTTTATACTGTGAAATAATTTCTGTATATTTTTTCGTACATCGTTCGTGAAACAGTGTTTTTTCAAATTAAATTTGTTGTTAGCTTTGCATGTCACACAGTCGATATGCATTAAAAGAACTAAGAAAATAAGAAACAAGAGAAAAGAAACAAAACCGGTAAATGTATCAATTGTTTACTAAAAAGGATATTAGAAAACCAACCAAAACGGTTTGACAGGAACACATTAATTATATATTCACTTTATTATTATGATTTACTAATATTTGAAATACATAAATTTAAAAAGAAACTTAATTTTACACGCAAATGAAATCTATCAAGCAAATAAATATATGTAAATATCACATGCAACAAATTTTTTTTTAAATATATTTGAGTTATATTAACAATTTTTTTTTTATATAATTTACTGTACAAATTGAAATCTAGATTTCAATATAATGTGCACATATGTAGATTGAAGAATGTTTAAAAACGCACAAACACATCTCATCTCATATTGCAATGCTCACAGGAAACCGTTTGGATTGCTGGTAATAACAAAATATATTAAACAATAATTATTTTCATTACAAAAGAAATATTTCAGTTATTAAACTTTATGGAAATTCCTAATCAAACCACAAAATGATAAATGTTAGGATGGAGGATAAATTTTCGAAACAATTTCTTCGTTATATGCATCACATAACATGAGCACTTACGTCATTGGAATAATAAATAATACCTTACATAATATAATATATTAATTTTATTTTTTAATTATTCTTATAGTTAATATTAATCGTGTTCTTTTACCTAAAGTCAATTAAATATTACTTATGTCATATTTTCTTTAGTCAGAAATTTAGAATAAATTCAGATTATTTGAAATACTTCATAAATGAGGATTTCAATATTTTATAATGATAATAATGAACATGAATGTTTGAAACTACATATAAACTATATTGTTTAAACTTATCATAATCTTTTAAGTTAACTAAAATTTTGTTAACCTTACAAAATTACAAAAAAAAACTGTTGTTTTGTCATTTTATTCGGAGCTGCTTTTATATGGAGTCTGTATTACGATAAGGTTTAATGCTATAGGGTAGTAGTACAGACTGAAACAGGGCGTTCTCTAGAGTGCGAAGAGATAAACATAAATCAGTTATAAATAATATATTAACGAATTCAGTTGTTCTCTTTTTAAAAAAGAGTTTTAAATGGCTGAATGAAAAGATGTTCTATATGATTAAAGAATTATTAGTTAGTTACAAATGCTTTTTAATTACTGACAATTTAATCTTAGACATTATTTATTTTTTGACAACATTATTATTATTATTTTTTAAGGAATGCCAACTAAGCCACCCAGACTTGTCTTAATTTGTGTAAAGATTGACTGTTGAAGTTAAAACCTCTTTTAGGATTTTATGCAGGAATTTACTCCATAATGATGCACACGCCACAAAAGAAAAACATAAGAATAAAAATAAAATAAAAAAAAGTCGATTAACATTCATGTACTCTTAATCTTTAAATATCTCCTGCATAGCGTAACAATTTTATTATAAATTGTAAAGCACTATACATTGATTTATTTGCCAACAGTACAGGTTTACATTGATAAGTGCTGTGTTATAAATAAATATTATTATGGACATTTGATTATATCCTCCTTTTGTTAGTAAGTTTCTTGTTAGGTTTCCAATATAATTTAATTGTTTCAACTTCATCAAAGCAAATGTTTGATGTTATTTAATATCGAATAAATGCCTTTGTAAAATATTTTCAGTTCTATACGCCTATATATGTCTATTCAGATATAGCCATTGAATATATATACAATTGTTTCTAATGTAAAATTCATTTTTAATATAAGTAAGTATGAGTTTGTATTTGAGTAAAAAGGTTCTTACCCTGTTATTATCAGTTGACGGTCTCAATATACCCGCATAAAATCATTTTGTAACGGTATTATCCATCATTAAGAAATATCGTTAAATATTAAGAATATTTTCTGGAAAGGATTACGACTGAGCTGACGAAGATTGTTTGATATTCCATTAATAATAATCATTAAAAAAAAATATCGGAATGAAAACGAAATTTTACCTCTAACACCTCGCAGCATGATAAACACTTATACGAAAATTAAAAATACATTTATAATGACTCTACATTCAAGTAATCAATTTTTTGAAATTTTTAGAAATTAAGTTATTTTTGAAAATCATAAATGTAAACCCAACAATATACCGTCCCATTCCGTGAATAAAAGCATCCATTGTATTGATTTTATTAATCAACTGAATTGAAAGAAAGCATATATTTAATAAAAACTACATTTACACGGTTTTATCACGTGTATTTGTGAAAAATGATTTCATTGTTCAGATGTTTTTGACTGATTCCGTGTTCCCTTAGACTAAGATATTGGTCTAATAGCTACAATATAGCAATACTTACAATATAGGATATTGTTTTTTTTTATATTGTAACTGGAACTGACTAAAGAAGTTAAATATTATTATTAGAGAAAGAACTAACGATTGTTCTACATAAATATCGTTTTAGCTGACTTTTTTTCTGGACAAAAGTCCAACGGCTGAAGCAAATCGAGTTTCGTACGACCATCACATTCGCACGGAGCGAGACAACAATGTGGGAATAAAATAAAAAGTAAACAATACACAACCCCTCTAAGAAACGTCTTGGAATCGACTTGACATAGAGTTAAACATTACCAAGGAACAGACATGACAATCACAATGTTAATAATAGAAGCATGTGCATGTATAAAGAATATATTTGTCCCCAACTGAAAAATTATCATTTTGGATTTTTGGGCAAAAATGCAAAAATCTACAATATAAATCGAAACATTAAACATTTAATTTTGATTCCATAACAATAGTTATCGATCATACTAATTGATTTCGTCAAAACAAAAGATGCTTATTTTGATTCAATATCAGTAATAAAATACGAAAAGTACTGTTAAATTAAAACACATAAAAAATAAATTAAAAATCACCAACGAGTCCATCAGTTGTCGATGTCTATTGCTTTATTAATCTATGGCCAATCGCTTACGCTAGTTTCACACGGGAATCGAATATGATCTTGAGGGGAGCAAACCACAGTTGATAAGACTTTACCGAGCTTTCCTTAGGAATATGCAATCCTATTAATTTAAAAAGGATATATAAGTATAATTATTTCGATAATATTTTAATCGCTTCTTTCTTTGTTCTTTCTTCACCGTCGTAGAGAATATTGCATAAAGTAACATTAATGTCTCTGGTGGGAGCCAATCGATTATCAATATAGAGAAACCAATATCATAATTAGAAAATATTACTACACTCACTATTGGAAATTAAATAAGTTTTTTTTTGTGAAAAATCGATTTCTAACAGGTCTCCTTTTAGAAATATATACAATTTGATAGACCCTGATCATCACAGAAAGATATCGAATGGAATAATATTAAACGTTAGATCGATTTCTACGAACTTCGATTTTGTAACGAATAAGATCTTCAACATCCATTCGCTAGAAGTAAAATATATTTAAAATATAAGAAAAGAACAAAAAATGCGGCAAAAACGAGCAACTGCTTCTGCCACAAAGGAATCTAAGAAGTTGCACCCCAGGTAAAAGCGGAGACGATTTCTTAAGAAAATCGACAAACAAAGACACTTTTCGTTTAGACAATTTTAAGTACTGACCCGTTGTATCAAAGCAGGTAGTCGTGTAACAATAAATATCGTCTTTAAATATATCATGCTATTGTGATTGTGATTTCTGTTCAGCTCAATGTGAAACTTTCGCATTCGAACTGCGCCTTTTTCGTTTAAGTCACGGTTTAAAAATAAAACATTCTTCGAGGGTAGGTATTGTCAATTTGAAACTAAATAGACTCTGGAATATTCATTTCATTTAAAAGTTAGAAACTTAAAACGTCGCAAAACTCTTCTGCTGCAATCTAAGAAGCTGCACCTTAAAAAAATAAAGATTTCTTACGAAAATCGCCAAGTCTTTTAACCGAACCAATCTAAGGACTTATCCATTGTGTTAAAATTTATCATCGTTAAGAATAACAATGACCTATGTTTGCGCTTTTGTAATTTTTGTTCAACTCAAAAACAAACTTTCGATGTATAATTATGTATCTTAATTCCTGAAGCTAGAATTACTTATATCTGAAGTTATTTTTGTTAACAAAATTTTAAATCTACACTTAGATTGTGAAATATTAGAATAAAAAACAGCTGATCCCCATATAAAATTTTCAGTTAGAGCATTGATCAAGTAACAAACCGTTAACTATCAAAATGTAAATTTTTAATTTCTTTTAGTTTAATTGCTGGTGTAGCAGCCCGCATGCGCGGTATATGGGTCGACTCAACTAACTGCTTACAAATCGAGACACAGTTTAGTACCGATTCTTATCGAATGTTGACGATTTTTAATTTACATTGCTAAAAATGTGTCAACCCAATTGCCAACGTTAAAAATGTATGTACCTACATTTTTTTCATAAATGCAAGATCGTAAAGAGTTTGTTTCTTAAAGCTATTTTATGTCTGTTTTGGGCGCTTAGTGTCTATTTCCAAATTCAATAATTATTATATTATGTTCTTTGATTATATACATTATGTATAAAAGTAGAGAAACTGGAATTACAAAATTTACCTTAATAAATTATTACTGCATAACTCGATATATTCAATACATACCTACCTAATATTAACTGTTATCTGTCCTTAACAACTGTCCACATTATGTGAATTTCCATTGAAATCAATACGAGTCACATTTCTGGTTTCATTTGAGTGAGTGATCGTAACATAACACATAAATATCTTCCCTTTTGTGATTAAAGGAACATGTGGTATTCGAAGCGATTATTTTAAAGACATTATCACCCACTTGAAACTTATAATTTAAATACCAAACGGCTAATCTTAATGCACTTAAAAGCACCCAATTAGTGACAAATGTGTCGCTCAGTGCGTTATTGAATCATCTCACACCAAAATGACTATGTATAACATAATTATTTAGACACTTCATTTACTTACTCAATTAGTAAGGCTGCAATCTCCAACGAGTGCCAATTAAAAAATAAAAGAAACCCTCGATGTGCGAGCGAGAGGTTCGAGGGCCTCCTTTTCCCGCAAGTGGTTTAGAGATGCGGCTTGTCGATTGATAGTTGGAAATCGTGATGTATATATACCATAGACAAAATACCGTTATTTTTGTTCAATTTCAAATTTCATTGTAATCTAGTAACATAAAATTCATTTGTATCGATCACGAACCATTATCATCATCTCATAACTTTAAGTTACTCATTTGTAGCCTTTCTTTATTTTCTTTTTATCTAGAGTGTTAGCAGTTGAAAAAGAAAGTAAGTTTTATGAAAAAGAAAAATTAGACGCATTATTAAAGATCTTTTTCAAATCTTTCTTTTCCATAAAAACGAATACAATTCCATTATTTATTAGAATGCAAAAACTATCCTGCTTATTGCTTATGTAATGGGTTATTTTAATATATTGTATCTGAGTGAGTGTGACTCTTGAATGTGACTTTCTAAAGGCGAAACAGTTTAGTTTTATGAAATGTTCAGTAAAACACAACCTGCTTATTTTAAGTGACGTTCGTTTTTACAATACACAATATTAACAAATAAATTAAAAAAGCGAAATATAACACCGTTGAATTAAACGTTACCAAGCAATCAAGTAACATATAAAAAATCTCAGTCCTTTCGTTTTTCGCAAAAACAAAACGTTCACGATTATTCCTTTTGTCGGACCCTTGCAAACATGCAGCCGGCTACACGTCACTTGCAGTAACGTGAAAAACCGAATTAGCCCGTTTGAATACGAACTCGTAAGTAATTAGCCTCGTGAGGCTCTCGATTCGCTCCGCTCGCTCTCGCAAGCGAACCGAAGCGAAGATAGCGATGCGACGCGAGTGGAGAGCGAAAATGGCTAATCAAATCCTTTCCCGCTCTCGACGGCATTCGAGAGGTTTTTTTTTAATTTCATTGTGTCTGAAGTGTCACTGCATTGACAGCCTAGCGTTCTTCATTAGCCTACCCCTTATAAATTACACCTAACACGAGAGATAAATTAAAAATTAAGGTTGTACGAAAATTTAAGTTTTGATTTTATTAAATAAACTTAATTAATGAGAATTCAAAGTAAGCTACTTTAGATTCATTAATATTAAACGCAATCGTAGTTTGAATTGATATTTATTTATCTTCGCTTCTTACTTGTCACTATTACATATCCAATACCAATTGCATAGCTAAAATAAAAAAATCGTGCAAAGACCCAAAACTATATACAAATTATGCAAAAACTTATCAATTTCCGTTAGTATTCACCGTTACCATTATTTTAACTGAATTCAAATATGATAAAGACAAAATAAATTAGTCAAAACTTCAATACCTGATAGAGTATGTATATCATCCTGAGTACAATATTTATTCACCAATAAAATTTCCTTCCACAGAGAGTTCTACTACATCCAAATGGAAAAGTATGCAAGGCAGGCGATCAGCGAAGGTCTGAAGACGGCTGAGGACCTCCATGTGGCAGGAGACTCCGAACTATACAGGGTGCTCAACCTGCACTACAACAGGAACAATCACATTGAGGTAATAATTAAGATGACTATTAATTTGTTTTGCAAACATTAGATACGATCATAAATTACTGAAGTTAAAAGTCGCCTCGCAATGTTTATTTTTGTCTTCATAGAAGTTTTTAATTATCGACAAAGTTTTGTCTTACTCCTCCATCGACTTAAAAGATAATACATAAAAATATTACTAACGATCGTTATCAATTTCTTTCAGGTGCCGCCAAACTTCAGATACGTAGTAGAGCAGACCCTGAGGGAGTTCTTCCGCGCCATCCAGGGAGGCAAGGACGCCGAACAAAGCTGGAAGAAGTCCATCTACAAGGTCATCTCACGGCTCGATGATCCCGTACCAGAATATTTTAAATCGCCCAACTTCCTCGAACAACTCGAGTGAGCGCTCACCCACGCACAGTGTTCGGAACACGAAAAAGTTTGGACATAATTTTTTGACGTTACGATAATCGTTTCGCACACCAAAATTTTACGACACTCGCATTTAGGCCTTCAGATTCAAAATTATTGATAAAAAAGTTAAAATTTAAATTATTGAATTTGTACGTTGGAAGTCGAGTGGCATAACGCCACTAGCGCTCTACTAGGAAATTCGTTAGGTTACGAGTAAGAGAAAATTTAAGTCACCTAGAATTTTATTTCTGCACATAATATATTTCGCTATATATAATTATTATATTATTATTAAGTATTATCTTAAAATGGTTTTTATAGTTGTGTATATCTTAAAATCATTTATTGATTTATTATTTAAGAAGAAAAACGATTAATATATTAACTGCTTAAGTTTTGAACTTTTTTGTTGTTTTTATTTTATTTACTCCTTGGTTCCCACCCTTTGGAGATGTTACCCACCTTATCCTTATAGCGTTTGCGTTCTTGGCACACACAGTGTTGTCGTAAATTGTCAACCTTTACCTCGTCATAATTATTTTAGGAATAATTAACGTTAACCATAGTGATTAGTACAATAGAGCAGGGTTATTTTTCGATCCACAAACAGATTCTAAAGATTATTTTTATACCGATAGCCAGTTTTAGGTTCATGCAGAGAGTTTTTCAATAGGAATTAATAATACAGTTGCTAAATTCGAAAACTTTAAACATCTTATGTTAAAAATTAATGTAAACATCCTTGGTTGTTTTATGAATGTTTCGGCAATGTTCGGATCGCATCATTCAGTTAATCTGGAAAACTGTGACTGCAGTCTCCGGAATTACATAGGATTAGGTTTATTTGTTAGATAAAATACATATTTTCCAAAATTATGCGTGGGCCACAAGCAATCACCACTTTATGCGGAGCGTCAACACCATTTTGTTATGTTTCTGTAATGCAGAAAATGTTTAGGCTAATGAAAGACTTTTTGAAACCAGACTCATTTAAACATTACAATAACGTAAAAAATATTATTATTCAGTTTATACGGAATTAATTTGTGTTATACAGTAATTTTGATTAGGTCAAAATTTACATTTTGGAGTAGTAATGGTGACGCGCTCGCTCCGCAGGCGGGCGCTCCGCGACGTCTATCTTCACAATAGACATTCGATCAACAATCCAAAACAGGCGCAATAGTTGAAGGCAACACAACAAATAGACCAATTACCTCCTTAAACAGACAAAAAATATTACAACACATATTTCGTATATCCATCAATTCATATAAATCGCACTGGGCCACCTCGTCCGATCAGAAGTGCCTTCAAGAAAAATAATGATTTTTTACGAGAAATAAGAAATTAATACTAAAGGCCCTCAATAGTACATACCGCCCAGCCGGAGACGTCGCGCAGCGCCCGCGCATGGACCCGCCTTGCGCACGCAACAGTTCAAACGAACTATCAGTATACATACACACACTTACTATTATACTATAGATGAATAATTAGTTTGATTCGTAGATAATATGTAGTGCGACCCGCTCGCAGCTTGCCCCTCGATCAGTCGGCAATAGATATTCGACATAGGATTCGGAATGACGTGGCCGAACCAGAAGGTGAGCGCGAGCGAACGCATATCTCGATGTATTTGTTATTATACCATGTAGTAGCCGGCCGCCACCCCCGCCACGCGGGAGCACTTTCATTTCACATCCTCAGTTTCACAGGACAAATGAATAACACAATTTATTTCGCTTCTCAAATAGATATAAACCGATAAGATAGATTGTACAGAGATATATAGCGATGTGTACATAATACGATAGTTTTAATACAGAAGAGATGATAAATCGACTATCTTAGCGCTAACGGTATTGTGTAAGGCACAATAGAAAAACAGGAAATTGCGAATTGATTTGCGGAATTGTACAAACGTTTACGCCATCCTAAGTTCATGGTCTGAACTCGCGCAGGGTGGGCGGCCGGCCCTAGCTAAGCAAGTGTAAGCATTTTTCATTTGATATTACACGTTTGTTATCGTTTCATTTGTAACCATTTGATCTATTACGATAATATAAGGGTACCTCAGTTTAGGATGGACCAGGCGTCGACTGGTGTGCTTAGATTAGTTCAGGTTAGGTGAGAGAGATACGGAACTCTTTTCAAAGACATCGACACATAGAATACACGCAGCCTCCTCCTCGTCCGGCCTCCGGTTTTATGTTCCAAATCATCCCGGCCATGCAATGGCCACGCACCCATCCAACCACACATTCTGCAATAGCCCAGATTCAGTTTCCACTCCGTCGTCGGTAAGCAAGTACGCAGTCGCCGCAGGGCTTATTCGAGAACGTTCATAGTTCCATGTTACGTTACCATTGTGTTTTGTTACGAGTTGTTTGTTTCAGATAACAAACTGCCAGATTAGAGCTGAAAAATGTAAATATGAATAGAACAAATGTGTCTCTTCTCGTTCAGATAAGCCATTCGAATTGAGAATTGGAATTGATTACATTAACTTGATTGAAACTATTGTAAGAGGCACAGGCTTAAATTTGTTAAGAGACCTAGGTAATAGATATGAAGTAAGCGTGCAGAGTTGGATTCGTTTCAGCTCTAAGCTGTCAATGATCATGAATTAATTCCTTGTATAGTAAGTAATGTATACGTTATTCCGATCTCTCCATAGATTTCTTCATACTACTGAAAGTGTTACGCAGGCTACACAACACATTTTACAATAGAAATGTATTGATTTCCCATCCACAGTATTCAACCGACATGCCGTAATTTGCAGATACTTGGAGCCGTTAATGTTTTGAATATATTTTTCAGGCGAAAAACTCTAACAATAATTTGTAATTTGTGTATAAAAAATGTTTAGTCCGGATTTTATACTTGTGTGATTCACTGTGCAACTACAAGACCACAAAGGATATCAATGCGATCGATCCGATTCAGATAATTCGGTATCGTTTATTCGTAAGTTATTGGTTGACAATTTTATAAATTTAGTGTAAAGACTCGAGTTTGACACATCGAAGTATTTAGTCCACAGTGATCATGGGGGCTATCCCACAGAAAAAGTACAAAATTCGGTGTTGACTTTGAAGCTCATGTTTGTATCTATTTAATATGTATGTAGATTTATAAAAAATGCCCTTTCGGCGTAATCATTTCTTATTGTTTGAAAATATTTAGATAATAGTTTATTTACGTTCAAAATTGTATCTAAAGTTTTTGCTTTTACAATTTATATTTTCGAATCCGTCTATTAAGTGTTTTTATAATCATATAAAATTAATGAAATATGTAATTATTTTCAAAATTAATTATAAATAAAAATACAATATATGTATGTAGAATGTATTTGGTTTCACGTTTGGGTATTATGGTTCCTAAATTTTCGAAATTGTAATAGACTCTATTGTATGTAGCATTTCATTTTTGGAAATTAGAAAACATTTAGATGTACCAAAATAGCTGTATCAACTTTTCTATACGTGAAATAAAAAAATCAAATAAGGAAAGTGCTGAAAAATTAGGTAGTTATAAATAAGTAACATTCGTTTATAATATCTGATTATGTAAAACTGACAAAACTGAGCACGGATATACTATTAGGAAGTCTTAAATTACAAATACTGCCGACGCTTATAAACTAATTAAGATAACTGGATACTCAGAGTTTGGACGTGTAGCAAATCGTCAAACATCAGCTTATCCCAAGCGATCGTAAGCAAAGCGTTCATAATTTTATATTCGAAGGTAATTTATAAATTGTTTATATCCTTGTGGTCTTCATTCGTAACAGCGATACACGTTCATTTTGTATTGACTTACGTATGTGTTATTTAATTTTGATTAAGTTGAATTGGTTCGGTGAGCTACAGACCGTAGCGATTCGTTTGATATATTTGTAAACTACGATTAGCGGATGCGGACACCAGTGATAAAATTAGTGACAAAATTTTGAAAATAAAACGAAATTATTTTAGGTGTTCAGCGCGGCGCATATTGCCCAGCATGAGCATAATCTGTGCCACTATGCGGCCTACCCGCGGGCCAGTGCTCCGCGCTGTGGTTAACTTTGACTAGTATTTAGGCGTCGTTTCGGTATCCTCGCATTTTGGCTAAGTGATAGGAGCCCGCGTCCGCTAATTTCGATATATTTAGTACAAATTTCATGATGTTAAGGTTTACGAGGCTCAAAGCTTTTTCTTTCGTGCCGTCCGCGCCGCCTTCCTGCATCCTGCCTACGATATAATGACTCGTGTATAAAATTTTATTCAAAAAGAGTATTTTTGTATTGAATATTTCTAAAGTTGGTGTAAAGATCAAAATTTCGTAATTTATAGCAATGACAAAAAAGGGGACATTAGATAAATTTAGGGTGTCATGCGTTTTTTGTATTTAATTTTAAGAATAGCGTCGAATATAAAACGTTTATGAGCATTAACCATTTGTAAATAAAAAGTTGAGAGGCAGGCCGCGGGGCGGCGGAGCAGCCGGCGTTTATATAGATAAAAAATTATATAAGTAACTCAAAGATGTTTATATGGTTCTGGATGTAAAAAAAGATAAATTTAAATCAAGTTTAAGGTAAAGTGAAAAAAAAAAATTGTAAACGATTCCTCGGTATTTGTCTTAGAATGGCTACTCGCGGGTCACTATTGTAATCTGTGGGCCTCAGACAAGTCATACCTGATGTCACGAAACTAACCTAACCTTACGCATTAATTATTACGGTTCTTAATACTACAACAATAATAATTATACATTAAATATAATATCACATTGTCATAATGCTTATAATTTAAAGAGCGTGTGTCTTTTGTCCGTGAATGTTTTAGGATCTAACCACTGTTCGGTGTAGTAGACATTATGGAGTTATTGTGGACGAAAAAAAACATAACTTGTCAAAATTCTAGGCCGTATGGCCAGTGGTTTGCATACATTGCATTCGCACATTGGTATAATCTTTATATTGGCGTTACAAAATCTATTGATCAAAATTTATCAAAATTAAACGATTATGAAATTCGGGAATACGGTGAAATAATAATGTATCTCTAATAGCAATGTCTGTATGGACACTTGTTGATACCAGTGAGGGATGTTTCTTCGTGAATATAACGAGTAATAAAGCTAAGCTTTTATTTGACATGTGCCTTTTATTTATTTACGCCTCCCATAAACACTATACCTGATTTTAGCATATCCTTTAGAAATATTTCTCGGCAATCAGTGACTGCACTCCGGCCATCGCTGAAATCGTAGGGGCGTAGAAGCAATACCCTTACTTTTCAGAAGATGAAGAAACATGAAATAATAGTGTTTAAGTAATTTGCCGAATGTTAAAAAATAGGTTATGTAATTGATAAAATTTTAAAAGAATGGCGATATAAAA